ATCGTACTCATGTGTTTGTTGAGCCTACAATGCCCTGTTAGAAGTCTTACTATAGTATATTCCAGCTGAACTTCGTTTCTGGCTCAGTAGATATTCTGTGAATGTTTGGTTTTTTGATAAACTCTTTTGCCTGTCTCATTCCTGGAGAGTTGTTCCACCATTCTTGATATTTGGTTTGCATCCATGAGCCATGAGTTGATACTAGTTTTTTGTATCGCTTCCGCAATACCACAGAAGGGTTCTGGGCCATTCAGAGCTTTGTTTGCTCCTGCTCGGGCAAGTGAGTCTGCCTCTTCATTGTCCTCGTATACCCTGTATGTGCTGGTACCCATGCTAGAGTCAGTCAGTTCTGACTGACCAGTTCATTTAGGGTTTCTAAGCAGTCCCATACTAGTTTTGAGTTAAGTTGCATAGAGTTGACTCAGTTGACTGCTTTAACTGCCGCCTAGCTATCTGAATATATTGCAATGGTTTCGCCTTAGAACACACCTCAAAAGTGTATAATTATGTTGATATGATTTATAGGTTAAATGCAAGTCGGCTCATTGAAAATTTACTTATATGCGCTTTCGGATGCATCTATGTTCAACTGGTGAGCGGAAGCCGAAGCGAAAGCTGACTTGTTGGCGGCAATCTGATGTGATATAATGAAATCATGTTTTGTTACGGCACCTACAACAATTCGATACAGGAAAGCTGGATAATGTTACCCAAAATTTCCTTACAGGGCAGCACCGGAAAAGAGTTTCGAATATATAGAACTCTTATTGTGGATGTGATAGTGTCTTCAAAACTGTATCCCTTATATAATTATGCATCAATAGCTAATAGTTATTATTCAATAAAAGTTTTCATAACTCTGATCTCGGCTATTATCGAGGCTTCATTAGAGATGTCTGGCAACCGCCGTACGGCCTAATAACGAAGAAGGAGATTCTCAATTATATATGAGCCCTGATCTGAAGCAAATTGAATAATCAGATAGTTGTGATTCGAGAAAATAACAATGATCTTGTTTCAACTGCATCACCTCGTGCATCACTATCTATTTGCACCATTTTCATCTCCAGGAATTGGTACTTGTCAGTTGACACAAATTCGAATTGAGCTACCTATATATAGTTCTATAGTGTTGTCTCCTCTCAAAGAGCTATCTTCTCTTAATTCATTCGTCAATTGAATGATATTATAGAGGATATTATAGAGGTTTGTACTGGTAATTTCTGTATCTGTACTGCAAAGCAATACGATTGTTCCAAAATATATTTAGTTATACCTACCATTTCAGGTTCTTGTACTTCTAACTTCATGATGCCTTCTGCATGACTAAATTCATTTTCGATTTCTCGGTATTCAAAAATATCTTCGTAAGAATATGTCTCGGAATATGTCATATTGAAAAATGCTGTCGTTGATTGCAGAACATATCTCCAATTGTAATTATAATAATGATTTTAATTATTGAGAATTAGTTTCAGTTCCCATCAGAACATCTATCTCACCAACCATATCTTTCCACATTCCACATTACATATCTAAATTTAACTAAGTCATCACGGTCACATGTTGTTTTTTCATCATTGATCATTGTCTCGACTTTTTTTGAGGATCACACATGTTCGGCATTAAGAGGGATATAAGTGGGAATGTCACCCTCTCATCTTGAGCATTCTTGAGGATGTTTTGGAAACGCATAATGTGAGTTAACTAGTCGGCGCAGGTCCGTAATAAACGCCAGTTAGCGCTCTCTTCAGAACTCGATGATTAATTGCTTTTCTTGGAGTCGTTCACCTGTTTTGAAACTCGATCGTTAAGTCTTTAGTGCTGATGTTTGAGTGGGTGGGAATTTTTGTTCCTCATCATGCGTGGAGGAAAATGAGAAATTCTGCATTTTCACTTGTTTCCTCTTTGTCATAAAACCAAATCAAGTGGCCTCCTTATTAAATTGAAGATGACAAAATTATGTATACAAAATAATTCCTCGTCATGATTATATTTGGGATATAGTTTCGAAGCAGTGTACCCTAATAAAAGGAGGTAGGTATTGGAATTTTTTTGCACTTTTGGCGATTATATTATTATATTCTTGGGGATATGTCCTTCGGCAAAGAAGCCCTTGTTTCTTATGTGCTGACTGAGCCTGTCGAGCCTGACTGCTATTGCTAGTGATATAGTCATTCATAGCGGAGATTTCTGAAGAACTCTTTTCGTGGAAGTACCTGTCTATGTAGAAAAGTGGAAAATCGCCGACCCCTCTAAGTATACGCTATTCCAATGATGTCAAAGAATTAATTAGTTAGTGTAGCATCGCGCGAACTTATAATCCGAGTGTTCATGACGTGTTCATGACATGATTTTCCCATGGAAGTGTATTACCGATGGAAATACCGAGCATTTATAACAGATATAGTGGACTTTGGGCAAATGATGGTCATGGTACCACAATCAACCAACTGAAACAATCAAATATGTGCCAATGTTCCTTATATATATTTCTGAATTATTTTACTGATCTGGTTTGAGTCACGACTCAAGCAAACCACTAGTTGATTCACTCCAGAAACTGTGATTTCTTATTGCCCAGTATCTCCTCCATAGAAATTCGTCCTGGGGGGTATATTGAGGGGTATATTTACCAGTTATGTCTTCAATATTTCTCGAAGATCTTCAACCGACTCCGTTCTTCTGGAAAACACTTGATTCACCTTAAACTTGACCTTATACATAACCCGAAAATGGAAGATGTTCACCTTTGATGCAGCCTCACTTAGACCGGCGCAGACTTTACGAGTATAAGGAAAGTCTAGACTCTTGCCAGTCGTAATCAACCAACTGAAAAAATGAAATCTTTGCGAATTTTCTTTACATTCCTGAATCATTTTACAGCTCTGGCTTATTGAGTCATGGCACAAGCAAACCAATTGTTGAATCACACCAGAAACTGTGATTTCTCATGGCCCTGTAGCTCCTCTAGAAATTCTACTTTGGATATATTTTCTATATATAGTAGATATATTATGTCTTCTATGTATATTTCTCTCGAAGATCTTCAACCAAGCACAGTATATCGAAATAAGTATGAGTATTATTTTATTCTTATAATTTTAACATTTTATATTGAAATGCTAATCATTCAACTATATGTGTATAATCTCTGACTATAGGTATTAAGATGGAAACAAATGACATTGATATGACTATAGCCTCGACTATAGCTTTGCATTTTCATATATCATTGAAATGCTTGTCATTCAGCTACCATATTCTCACGTGACGGGGGTTTCACAGTTATACTTATATGATTTTTTTGAGATAATGAACTCGATCATATAACTACAGGGAAAGTCAAAAATGTGTACCGAGCTTTTTGAGGGTGATGATTTTTAAACGGTGGAAGTCATCAGATTGAACTTTCCTACATACATGTATGTTGATAAAATGAACTTTTCTGATACCCTTCTACATTTTGTAATATTGTTATAAAGGGTGTTTTTAGAGTGATTTCTTGAAGAGAGCTTCTTATCTTTTTTGGTGAAAAAATAGAAGCATTCGATAAAGTGAAAACAATTACACAGAAATAAAGGTACTTTTATCAGAATAAAGAAATTGTAACCGTTTTCGAGATATGTAGATTTCATAGCACATCAATTCATCGGTAACAATATTCTATATAGGAGGCCATTTTGTGGATCGTGCAGAGATTTCTTGAAAAACGATGTTTTAAAACGAAACATATACACAGTAAAAAACGCTTCGAATTGAATTCGCAGAGTATGTTTTTAGTGTTGAAATACTCTGTCACTCTGATATAATACACTAATGTAGGTATACAGTCAAAGAATGTATCATTCAAGAGCAACATGGCTTCATCCCCAAGAGGTCTATTGAAACTAATCTTGTTTCGTATAGCGAGTATATTTTATTTGCAATGGATTGGCAAATTCAGGTCGAATCTATATACACCGATTTTAGCAAAGCATTCGATAAAATCAACTACAATATACTAATGTTAAATCTGTCTAAAATTGGTGTACATCGAAACCTTCTTCGTTGGTTTGCTTAATATATCGCCAACAGATCACAAACTATCGTAGCTAACGGTTATGAATCCGATTCCTATTTAGTAACCTCAGGAGAACCCAAGGATCCCATCTGGGAACTTTACTTTTTGTAATATATTTGAACGACGTTAGTTCATGCTTTGAATATTGCGAATTTCTGCTTTATGCAGACGACTTAACAATATTTTCTTGTGTCAAAAGTCCAGGTGATAGAGTCTTTATCAACGCGATCTTGATTGTTTCTATAAATACTGTGAATCAAATAAAATTTTCTTAAATTCAGATAAATGCTTCTTTATCTCATTCACTAAAAACATCAATACATTTTTTTATGATTATAATCTCAACAACACCATATTGAAACAGGTGAATCAAATCAAAGATCTGGGGATCATTTTCGACAGAAAAATGACTTTTTCGGCTCATATCGACTATGTTGTTTCATAAAGCAATAAAACATTAGGATTCATTATGAGACAATGTTATCATTTCAATTCGATTCATACAATGAAAGTATTATTTTATTCTTATGTGTACAGCAAAATCAATTTTGCTGGTGTCCCCAAGTATACCGTTCAGAAACAAAGACTTGAGCTGATTCAAAACAAATTTTTGCGATTTTTGGATTACAAGATCAGTGGCACATATATTATAGACTCAGGCAACAATTCCAATTTCATTCACTAGAGGCCCGCCGAGAACAATCAGATATATATTTTTTATTTAAAATTCTGAACAATGTAGTAGATGCTCCTAATTCATTATAAAATTCAAAATAAATAATTTCATACATAAAACAACTGAAAGAATAACCCACAACTTTCTTCTCGTTTCCAGCCACCCCCGCCACCGGACCATGCCCGCCTCCTGACCGCCACCGGCGTCCGCGCAGCCCTGGAGCCGCTCCGGCTCGACTTCCTCCACCCCGCCGGCGGCGCCATGCTGTCCGCCGGCCTGGGCTACGCGACAGGGGGCGGCCAGAGCGCCGCCGCCGCCACGCCCCCCTACAGCCCGCCGCCTGCCCGCCACAGCCCGCTGCCGAGCTTCGGATTCACGCAGGAGCAGGTCGCCTGCGTGTGCGAGGTGAGAGGGGAGGGGGAGTGGGTGTAACAGGATCATGGTGCAAGTACCCGATGTCTATGGTAAAGCTAATATAGCCTCCTTTCTGTGGGGAAGGCGATGCCAATGTAAAGTTGGCAGCGAAATCCCTGCAGAGAAGGAGCTAGAAGCAGGAGTACCGCAAGGTGCGGTCCTTTCACCACTACTTTTCTCCATTGTTACCGCAGATATCCCTAAACCCGCGAACAACTTTAACAAACTCGCACTAAACGCCGACGACACAGCCGTAATTGCCCGATCCAGCAACGCAGACATGACAGTACGATACCTACAAGAACAAATAGACACACTAGAAACCTGATTCAACAACTGGAAAACAGAAATCAACGCAGAGAAAAGCCAAGCTGTTCTCTTCACTAGGAGACGTACCAAACCCACAGGACACACAGATACCATGGACAGATGAGGCAAAATATCTAGGGGTAACCCTAGACAACAAACTTACTTTCAGACAACACTTCACAATACGACTAAACTTTGGTAAAGCCGCAAGGCAAAACCTACAGCCTCTAATAGGTCGCAGAAGCAACATGGCTCTAAGGTCGAAGCTGCGCCTAACAAGATCCATTCTACTTCCAATAATTTTGTATGCATCAAGCGCATGGGGCCAATGCCCAGAGACATACAAAAAGCGAATACATCAGGCATTTCTCAATGTCTCAATAAGAATGTCAGTAAATGCCCCATGGTATATCCCAAATAGATTTATCTACATAGACAACTACATAAGACAACACGCTGAGACTACATTCGGAAGAACAGAAATCCATGAAAACCCGCTACTGCACGACCTGACTAATAGGATGCTAATAGACAACTGAATCAAGACCCGCGCTTCGGAAGAATAAGGTACAGGAGCCCAATTCACCAAACATAAGATAAACAAACGAGAGTAAATCAATATGAATGAAAGTTGCATAATAATCATCAGATAATTAAACAGAAGAGTTTCTTCTTTGATACCCTATAAAAATGTAAACCAATAATAATACATATTAGGGTAGGGAACCACCACGCAAAGCCAGGCTAGGAAACACACATGAGACAAAAAAATTTAAGAGTCGGAAGACTAAAACCAAGTTAGGGGTTTTATAAAACATATGCAGATTGCCAAATGCATAAGGTTGAAGTCCACTTTCCTGAATAAGGACAGAATTCGAAACTGAAAATAAACTCATAGATTCAAAATCCTTTCTCATCGAGAGTGCAGAGTCCTAAAAATGTGTCAAATCAGATCATTTAATCATTTTCAGAAATGATGTCGTACACAACCATGGTATCATTGTTAAAAATAATGTAATTGAATGATTTTTGGTGCTGGGTTTGTGCGAGAAATATACACAACTTGCCAAAGAGGCTCTTCCGCCGTTCCCAACAACATACTTTTGTGAAACGGGATTTTCTGCATATATTATTCATTATACTACTACAAAAACAAAATACTTCCTTCAATCAATCCTGATATTACCCAGTTGATGAAGAATAAATTCAAATGGACTCAGTTTTATCATTCGCTTCCTAACTGACTACTTACTGTATCTACCTTTCCTTGTATGTTACACATGTAACTGGTTTTGTTTTTAGTTCTGGATCCAGGGTTCCGTTGAAAATTCAGTTTCTTTAAAGGGTTTCGTCACCAAAAAAGTTTGAGAACCGCTGATATACCCTCACCTACCAAGATACTGTCTACACAACCGCCGCGGCGGTTGGATACTGATAAAAAAATAACCGCCGCGGCGTTATTTATTCCGTCTTCATAGAGAGTACTTTTTTTCAATTTTTTTTTCACAAGTAATTTTTCGAATAGGTTATTTTGCTTGTAGAAAGTAGTCTACTTTTTCATGCAGAAACTATAATTTCCTCGTATTTTCCTTCCTCATACCCTATTTTTTTTTTCAGAGGAAATTTCTCGAAAAATCAACTTTTCAGAAAAAATTCATTAAGGCAGAGGTTTTGGTTAGTCTGCTTCAGGAGAAAACTTCATTTAGGCAGAGCTAGGTTAGTTTGCTTGAATAAATATAGTCTCCTTTTCATGCAGAAATGATATGTTTCTTCCTCATGACCTTTTTTTCACAATAATTAATTATACTCTTCAGGAAAAAGATTGATTTCTGTGGAATTTTCCAGCAAAATAGTCGCTGAATCAAATAGTTTTATATTTTCTTGATAACTGTCCTGACGTTTATTGATGGAGAATGCATATACCCATTATTATCTCCATCCTACTACTGTCTTCAAAATAATGACCAGGAATAATTTCAAACATTCCTGGAAATTATTGTATTATAGTTATACAACAGAAAACAATTTCTATCACACTCCATAGATCCACAAGGACTAATTGCATTATGAACTGCGAGATATAATCAGACAGAGGAATATAAAATTTGGCAACTTCAGGTTGTAGAACGATCTCATATGACCTTGAGATGGATTCGTAAATTACAAATCACATAGTGTGATTGAAGAGATGACTAGTGCTGTCAACTTTGAAAAAACTTTATTCAAAATGACAATCCTTTTAGAGATCAAAATGCATTAAATTCAGTTTTTTTTCATTTTATGACCCAAACTTCACTTCACGAACAGCTTTTTTGTCTCCATTGGTATCTTTTGACGATTATACAGGTCGTTTATCGAATCGTTACATGTAGGGTATTTGGATAGCAACATTGCACCTCTTCGCGATTAGTCTCCGTCTTCTTCTCCGCCACCTACAGTACCTAACAACCGCCATACTCTGTAGATGGCAATGTTGCCAAATTACATAATTTCCTGATACTTCTATATGTAACGATTTGACGAGCGATTTGATAAACAACCTGTGTACGATCATTTCACCTACGATATGGACAACTATCATAGCAAATTCCATACTCACGATACTCATAATATGCACTGTATAAATTAAATTAAATGGACCGTTCCAAGGTCCAACAGACGGCAATAAATATTCGCAGCACATGCCACTGACAATAAAGCCATAGCAAGCATTCTAGATAAGAAACAGCATTTTTACACGAAGACAAACCACGAACGCTGATAAGACCGAAAAGGAAGAAAAAACTTGGGACGTCAGGCAAATCTTAATGGTCAGCTCGTACACCCACTTGGGTACCGAAGTACCGACGAGGTACCGATGCAAACAGTAATGGTAACCTGAGATGTTGGTGCGAGTGATGAATGGACGCCTAGAATGTGCACGTGTGTGGGTGAGGGCAATTAACGATTTTCGACGCTTTTGCTGAATTCGCTACAGCAAACGGAGACTGAGCTGGAAATTATTCATTTTACGGATACCACAACGCACTGGATGCAATACTCCAATATTTTGCACCTTGAATACCTTCAAAAATACACAGGGAAAACATACTTTCCGTTAGTTTCTGTAGCGCTAAATTAACGTTGGAATTCAACTTTCATGAAGAACTTTTTTCTGCAACCGACACAAAAGTCGTCCATTTTGATACCAAAATCAGCTCTTAAATTGACGTTTCTATTACTGACACAAAAATAGGTATGTTGCTAGGCAACATATTTAGTTCCTAGGAGCTAAATTGAATTTTAGTTCCTAGGAGCTAAAGTTGAACTTCAGCTCCTAGGAACTAAAAAGGTTCTACTGGACGTCATCAAGAATAAACAACATTGTGACGGTTGGTTATTTGGGTTGAGACGCACACCTGATTTGTTTCAGCAGATTTGGCATTTCATACCGATGCTGGAGATATAAATACACCTTATTATAAATTAGTATTGGAATTATAAACATCTCAGTTAAGTATTTTTGTTTTGATCAGGGAAGCATTCAAGATTCAAATACTTGTTTGATCTGTATTTCATTCGTTATTCTCGGGATGGATAACTTGTTTTTGAATAATCACGGCAAGCAATAGTTTTTTGTCTCGAACAACGATATTGTTTATCTTCATTTGATTATCAAGCGAAAAACATTGTATTATGGAGAGGAATAAATAATAAATAATCGCTATTATTATTATTGTTGATATGCTCACTAACCTAACATTTTCCACGTCTTGTTCCTTATAGCTGGCACTGGCGCGGTATTTGCCATTAGAGCACCTGGTCCATTCACAAATATGTCACTCTGTGGTTGTATTTATATTGAAACTACAATTCGAACATCCTAGAAAACCTAACCTGCTGTTAATGCAGGTAGAATATTCTCATCACATGGATTATTTGTCAATATTTGTTGCATTGCATACATATGGCACGGCATTGGTGGTTACTTCACATATTCATTTGACTTAATTGTTTCGGTTGCAGAAAAAATAGCATGTTTCATTCGGATCAAAAGTGACTTTGTTCGACTCGCAAATTTTGCTTTCGCTCGGCTTCGCTAAACGCTCCGCCTCGCAAATGCAAAATTCGCTTGTCAAACAAAGTGTCACCTTTGATCCTAATAAAACAATCTACTATTACTGCTTACCATTTCTGTTGCCACATATCACCCATAAAATCAACTTCTGTTTATTGAACTCTGTATTTCCTCAAAATTGGAAAAAAATCATAATCCACAAACGTTAGACGAATTACGACCGATCAGTGTATAGCCAACTCTATCGGAGATCTTAGAGAAAGCTATCGATATACAACTACAGAATCACTTGACTAAAAATTTGTCAATACCCTCAGTACAGTCTGGATTTTAAACTGGCCACAGTTGTACAACAGCATTATTGAAAATCTCTGATGACATTATGACAGCTTTTGATAAAAATAAATTGTTCTTATTTGACTACTCCAAAGCATTTGACACTCTTAATCATAATTTACTTTTTTAGGTCTTATCTTATAGTGGTTTGGATTTCAGAGCTGTGGATTTATTTAGATCTTATCTATCTGAGAGGAGTCAAGCTGTAAAGAATCAAACAAGTGTATCAAGTTTTTCATCTGTGGATACCGGAGTACCTCAAGGTTCAATATTAGGCCTCTTCTCTGTT